CCTCCTATGTAGTGTATACTGCACCGGAGGTTTTTGAGTGTAACATGCCGTTGAGGTCCCGGTAGAATGCGACAGCGACCCCGGAGCCTCTGTAACGCGGCTTTGTAGGAACTACTCGAGGTGGTTTTAGTGGGATTTGTTCACCCTATTCAGAATAGCAGAGATTTTGAGTCGAGTCCCACATACCTACTTTTGAGGGCAGGGGATGCCAAATGCATTTCCACCTCGGATATCAAAAAAAGGGGTCATAGGCCCCACTGGATATTTTTCTGTTCAGAATTTTTTTATTAGTATCATCTGCAAAGTTCACATAGAAGCGAATAATAAATGATTGTTCACTTCAGGCAAGTCATTAAAATAATATGAAAACAAATTGCACTCAAACAGCAAAGTTGGTGTTAAGTCAAAGTTAAAATTTGAAACACAAAATATACACAACTCATCCACAATTCGAAACGTATTCTTCATATTGTTTCGAATATTTTGAAGTATTGGTAGCAGCTGGCAAAGTTTCGCCAGGCTCGCATAGTTCCATAAATGAATAAGGCTACATTGTGGCAACGTACGGTCTTAGAATATGCATACACGTGTTTACACTCTACTGGGATCAAATGACTGTTCATGTAACAGGTAGAGTACAGTGTAGTGGAGAATGGAACGGAACGACATTCCTGCAAACTCGGGGCGTCAACTATTAAGTGAGCTTGCAGAATTCTACGTACATAAGTTGATAAAACCCTATTATGCGGCATAAAAGTAGTCAATAAATAAATAATAGTAGATTAGTTTATGGATATGAAATATTCTAGGGTTTACAATAATCGCTAGATACTTAAGAAACTTAGTATATATTTAATTATCGTAAATGGATGATTGGTGGAGCAACTTGTATGTAAATCTAATTAATACCTAAACCGAATAAAGTCTAAATAATAATAATAAGCTGGTGCTTTCCTCGCTCAACGAATAACTATCGCAATACAGCGAGGAAATGCTGCCAGCGTTATAGGTACACTGCCATAGGGACCAAACTTTTTAAATTTGTTTTAATTTTTATTTTTAATTATTTTTATTATTGTGTGTATGTGTAAACGTTTAAAATAATAATTAAAAAAATTACATTAAAAACAAAGTTTAATCTTTGCGGTTGTGTAATGTTTTAATACACTTTATTTTAATTAAGTGTATCTTAACGTTCAACTATGCCAGTTAAATGCGAAATGTCTACAGGTCAAGGGATGGTATTAAACGGAATTATCTCGGTACCATTCTCGCCTCCACATTATGCATAGTACGAGGATGCTGAATAATATGACACGCGCAGGATTCCACGTTTATTGGATTCACGTATTGCGTATGCAATTTCAACATTGGTTTTGGAGTGACGATGCACTTTTGAAACGATAACAAAAATATATCTAAGCCTTTATATTAAATTTTTAAAGGTACCTTTATAGCGTGGGGGAATATGTAGACCAAACGTTTTGACAACATGTTCTTATTATTTTGACATGATTATTAATATGACAGTTACATGACTTTTTTTATATGGCAGATTGTGCGGTCTTTTTTATAATTAATCAATCTGAATATAATTATTAAATTATAATTTATCGATAACTAATCTATCAGCTGTGTAATAGGGTAGTCATTTGCGGAAGTGAAATTAATTTAATTTCACTATATAAACTAATCTTGTCAGTGTATTAATTTTGGTGTCCACTAAGTTTTGATTATTAATATTTTTTAGCTTTTATAAACACAATGATACCGTGGCACTACAACCATTTCTGAGTTAAACTGTGCTTGTTGCATCTATTACATTGATACTTTATTTCTCTGATTGGTCTTGTATTAAAAAGTAAATGTATTAAACCATCATCATTAATTTAATTAAAAACATTATTTACATTTTTTCTACTCGCTGCAAATCATTTTACTTCGCAATCACATATAAAAAAGGAATATAAGGAAACTCCTTTCGATTTTTTAAGGCGATTAAACATGACATTTTTTCTTTCATTCAATATACGAGAAAGTTTTGCAGTTATAGTTGTAACTCTATTGAAATACATACACAAAATCATGTAGTCAACAATTACGTTACCAATGTGGTTCATTCATGTATATTAAGTACTAAAAGTTGTTAGCATTACACACTTTATTATTATCACCATTTCAACTTGGATGCAAATACGCCGGAAGTAAAACATAAACACAAGAATACAAAATTTAATTAACATGAAGTTTCTCTAGATACGTGCACTAACTTCGTTATCATTAGTATTCTGGGTACCGCTGCATGAATTCAGCACAATTAGGTTTTTAAAAGTTCCAAAGTGCAGACTTAGCTACCAAAGATGTGTGGAGCTCAGTGGGAAACCCGAAACTTCTTAACTGTATTTCCTAGGCTGTAGATTAGTTTCGACTTTGGAGGTTTATCGGGACTAATATTGGGTCGACTTTGTGTGAACAATGTTGATGTTAAACTGCTGCTTGTAACTCGGATATATAGAAAGTAAAAGGTTTCAATAATCTAAATGGAAAGTAAGATTTATTTCCAACACACAAAAACACAGTATTTAAAATTTATTATTTATGTAATAATAATAATAAATAGAAAAGAAAAACAAATTTGTTTGGTCCCTTTAACGCTGGCATTATTTCGTGCTGTATTGCTATACTTATTCGTTGAGCGAGAAAAGCACCAGATCAGCCCTGCGATTCTGTAACTCACTTTTCGAACTTACAAAGCGGTTAAATAAACAATAAACTACAAGCTCCCACTCCCATTAAAGTAAATGTAAATATCATCATATTATTTCCTATTGGACACAGGTTTCTTGTTCGTCTTGCTTTTCAGCTCCCCAAGTGTTCTCCACAAAGATCTATCTCTTGCTTTCCTCATCCATGTCGCATCCAAAACCATAGTTATTAATATATTTGTATTAAAAAAATCGTGTAAATCCTAATTGTCCTAATAATAATAAATTAACGGGGTATTTTATTATAATGCCTACTCCATATTTCGGCTTCTGCTTCATCTTTTAGTGTATTTTTCATCTTTCTGAGCTTGAAATTCCGTAAACGACAACTATATTTACTACCGGAATAGAATTTAGAACAAAGTGACGGAGGTAATAATGGCCTCATGGACGAACTATAATGGGGTCTATAATGTACTTTACCGTCTGGCTTTTAACAACTGAGCGCTTTTAAAGACATTTCTTCCCGCACACCACTTTATGGAACCAGCTGCAATTCCATTTCTGAACCGTTACGACTTGAGGAGAAGGGACAAGAGAATAGCGTACCACTTCTGGCTGGCGCACTTGCAGGTGTCCACGGGCGGCGGTTAGCACTTAATTCTAAATGCTGACCGGCCTGTTTGCCCACCGAAATTCAAATAAGGCGTAAAAAGAAAGTAATACTATAAGGAAATAAAATTAATAATAAGCGAATTGAAATCTGATGGCTGAAAGAATGTTTCTCAAATTTCGAAGAATCAAAACTTTTTCAATAAGAGAATGGATCATTTATTAATTTCGCCTGTCACAATAAGCGTAATAAAAAGCTCATTTATTTAAAATTTTAATTAAGTAAGTAATGTTCTAACAAGTCCAAATTTTTTCTATTCTTTATGACTTACGTGATATCACGCTTTCTTTCTCTAAAACTTATCCATACTTATTTTTAATTTGTGTATTATTTTATTTTTTTGTTCACTGTATAGTTTTAGGTCTTAGGAAATAGCTATCATAATAGAAAAGCAACGAAATATTTTTATAGGCATAAGTTAAGAAACGTACCGGTGGCGTACTTCTAACTGAATGGAAGTACGGAAATGCATCATTCGAATAACATACGAGTACATGTCGAAAAGTTGTTTCAAAAAATTATCTCTACAGAATTACGCCTGTAATATCCTGAAAAATTGGTGTTACCATTCTAATAAAATAAATGACATCGTTTTCCTTTGTTACGTTATCTCTGACATTTATACTCAGTAAACTTAACGCTGAAAAATATAATTATAATAATACATAACTTTTACTAATTATAACTACGATGTAATCCATATCTATCACTCTAGCTTGATTTAATGAAAATACGCGAAGCTCCAACTAATAAAGCCAATTTGTTCCTTCGGCATGCAAGCTAGAACATATGCCAGATTAATACGAGTATATTCAATACGGTAAAATTAAAGGGTTCCATTATGGTTCATTATAAGAGCTTAAAGGAGTGTAGAGACTTACAGACAGAACCTATTTAAATACTAAATTTGCGTTAAAAGTTTATGATAATTCTACAACAAACAAGAGGCAACACCAGAGTGCCAACACTATTTCATAGAACTTAATATTATAAACGAGAATGAACATTGAATTTCGTAAAGCAAATTAATATTTCATTGAAAATATTCCGAATATTTAGGAATGTAATAAAACCATTTATAATTGACCTATATATTACAGCGGAGTAAAAAAGGAATAAAGTACGAGGAATTGAAGGAAATACTAAAGCCTGTAATTAGTGCATGCTGAAAATTACTTTATTTGAATACTGCCTGTATGGTACTTGCCTTTTGATGTCAAAAGTCCAAGTATAAAGAACAGAAAAAATAGAACATTCTCAGGATATATGCTTACTAATCAAGTACAATTCGTTCGTTATCTATACTAATATTCTAAAGAGGTGTTTGTATGATGTAATTTGTGAACCAACGAAAACGTTTTCAAAAAGTCTTAATTCCCGGGGGAGAAAATAAGTGACATTTGAGATTGAAATCACCCACGCGCACTTTTTGTTTTCTTTTGAATTTAGAACCTAAAATGATATTTTTATTGCAGGTGATCCTTTTAAACAAAGTGATCGATCTTCAATACGTGATGGTCGATAGGGCGGGCGGGGCGGTTCGCTAAGGTGGATGGTGTTGAGGCGGGCATGGCGGGGCGCGGGGCGCGGGCGGGGCGGGCGCGGTGAGGCCTGCGGGCGCTATGCGCGTGGCTCTGCTTGCTGCCGTGCTCGCGCTGCTAGCGACTTCCGGCGCGCGGAGGCTCCGCGTGCTGAACGGAGATGCTCGCCCTACATTTTACGTGGGCATCGCCGCGCCGCCTTCGGCCGCCGCCGCCGTGGGCGCTTTCAACCGCACCCTGGCGGAATTATCGCACAAATTCCTCGCTGGCGACTACTTGCGAAATGTGTCTTTACTGCCGCTGTATATCGAATTACCGGAAGATGAAAGGTAAGATCCTTAATAAAATAAAATATTAATTAAACTATTATATTGCAAATAAGGTAAATGTAGCTGTATTGGGAGCTTATATTTAAAAAAAAATGCGTGTTGTCAGAGATTGTTGCATCGACGCGAATACTTGACAATCTATGAAAATTTACTATATTTTTCTTTGATATTTAATTTATATCTTAAACCAGTAAATAATAATAAAAACTTTATTTATGACATAAACATGGTTGTGACAAAATTCATCTGACGCCAGTCCCCACGCTGGGGAGTCCTTGTGTTGTGGGTGACAAGACAACAATTATTTCGTGGTGCATGACAATTTTTTAAGAAAAAGTAGTGTTAGTCATACTACTATTCAAACAGGTCATATAAGATATGTGCGCTATGTTTGTTTTTGGAACCTCAGAGTCATGCCAAGATATGTAGTCTAGTGTAATTTTTATGTATTTTGTTACTTTACATCTGAATAGTTTTAGTAAAATCCATGCATTGGCAGATTTTATTACATAGGCGCCCCTAAATGCAAAGAAGCGTTGGCCAAACAGTCCTTCGTTGGCGTCGGGAATACAAAATCAATCAATCATATCTATCAAACTATTTGTAATGATTTAGCACATATTGGGAATATGTTAACAGTATCACTCTCGACATACAATAATATGTACGTTCCGCATAGTATCTGAAAGAGGCGTTACGTTTGCATGAGTAATTTTCTAAATTACTAACCATTAAGTTTACTAAAATTATATAGTTAGACTAATTTTAATTTCAAAAGTTAAAAAATTTAAAACACTATGAACGATCGATTATACTCCTTCCAGTTTCTTAGTAAGTGTAATATATATATATATATATATATATAAGAATTGAAAAAAATATAATAATAAATTTAGGTGTATGAAGTTACACGGACTTATAGCCATTAAGCGATCTCTTCCCTTATCTAATCGAAGGATCATCTCTCTAAGTTTTGCGAGAAATTCATGGACAAACATATTAACATACATGTATGGAGGAAACTGCTGCTGTTGCTCCATCCTAAAGGGGGTCAACCTCCACCAGTGTAACTGGCTGGCCCGAAGGTTCCAGTGGCTTAGGGCAGGAAGTTGTTTAACATATCCATAGCATTTGGATTAATTTTGTTACCAAGTTCATCGTAATTGTAGCCGAAGATGTCGCTAAACATATTTTTACGAAATTAAGCACACGTGCTGATACATCAAATACAAACCCCTCCTTTTCTATGTCAGTAAAACATCCATACACGTCTACAGATCGGGCTATTTTCCTCTAGAAATTGATTTATAATGCACATTGTTATTCAGTTTCAGCTAACTTAATATGCGGGCGAATCCACTTGCCTTTGTATTTGTCGCATTAAATATTCCTCGTCTCTTTGTTACGGAAACTGATTCTCGGGGTATGCATGAAAATATTATAAGAGTATCAGTATAATATTTGCGAAATCATTGAGATCACATTAATATTAACGATTTTATTAGCATAGAAATACGAACTGTAAAGCAATTAGTTTGAAATATTGAAGGTTCAATGTTCAGCAGTTTGTATAATTGTTATAGTCGTGTTTCATAGACATAACATTTATTACTATTTTACACACACAGAAACTGACAAAATAATAATAATCAAAAAAAAAGAAAGAAAAATAACATTTTCTTAAAGAGGAAGGTATATTTTAAGTGTGTAACGTGTGTGTGTTGTGGTTGTAATTGGCCCTGCCTCGGTATTATGCTGCCAGAGACCACAATAGTTAGTTTGCGCTTCAGACGCAAACGTATGTAATAATAATAATAGTAGAAAAAATAAAATTCAAATGATTATCTTTATATATATAATTCTTCTGTGAGTGTGTATGTCACTGAACTTCTCTCAAACGACTGGACCGATTTTGATGAAATTTTTTGTGTGTGTTCCAGGGGATCTGGGAATGGTTTAGATTCACAAATCAGCCCGGCAGATGGCACTGCAGTCGGTACTTTCATACTTTGCTTAATATCCTAATCGCTTTAAATAGCATGCAGGACAACGTCTGTGGGGTCCACTAGTACATTTATAAACAGCTGCTAATGTGAAATGTATGCAATTTAGTTTGATTTTGTTTCGTCGTTCTATTGTATAAACATTTATGAACAGTGAGAGACGATTTTCCGAATATCTGTTGCTCTGCTTCAGTTGATATTTTCCGGTTCATATTCTAAGTTCTTTTTCAAATTAAAACTATACCATCTCATCAACAGTTCTATAGATTTAAAAATCAACACATCATACGTGAAATTAAAAAAAGAAAAACGTTAACCGATTTGGTCTAATATATGTTCAATCTGTTGGAAAGGTCCTGGATTAAATTCAGTGAAGCAATAATTGCCTCAAAAGATATAGAAATGCCCCAATAGATGGATTCAAATGCGAGTATTTCTCTTATTTAATTGAGCTGTTTAATTTTATGTATATATGTACATATAGTACATATATGTATATGCAATATATATACATACATATATTTAGTCTCATGATGTGGCTTTTGCTTTCCAACTATAGTTTCGCCGCAACCTCGAATTTGTATGATTAACTAAAATATAAAATCCAAGCTTTGATTTCACTATAACGTCAAACAATTTTTTGACAGCTCTTGAAATTTAATACAGATAAAAACATTTCTTATTGCCAGTAATGGCACGGCTACACAAAACCCCGAGTTTTAGTAGCCTTCTACTACTTGGCATAATTACTACAATTGACCTGATTTTATACGTGTCTAGTAATCCCTATAACGCCGTAGACCCGGACCGCGATATTGGAGTATTCTCGAAACACCTTTTTACTTGAATTTTAATTCAAAAACTACGAACACGAATTTAATTAAGTTATGTAGTTTAATTTTATAACAACACAATTAAAACAGGTGCAAAGGTACGCAAAGCTTATTTTGGACTTAACAAATTATTATAAATTTCACACTTCAGAAATATAACTTGAGAAAAGAGCGTACGAATTCTTAAAAGGCCGGCAACGCACTTGCGAGCCTTCTGGCAATGTGATTGTCTATGGGCACTTATCACTTAACATCAGATGAGCCTCCGGCCCGTTTGCCGTTATTACATAAAAAAAGAAATCTCCACGTTTAAGGGGAAATACCGCGTTATATGAAGGACGGAAATCGCGTTATACGAAAACACGTTGTTTACTGTACTGCCCTTATCGCTGTTAAGTATTTTTGAAATAGAAAATATTTTAAAAAAGAAATTGAGAAAAAAACAATTTCATAAAACAGTATATATGTCAGAGCAATAACAGTTTTCCACTTTAATTTACGAAAGTTTTATTAATTTTCACAGCGTTCGTTAGTTTTGATAAACGGATTTTCCTAACAGATAACATGATACAAAACTTTATAGATTTAATTTTATAGACTTAGCTGACCTGGCAAACATCGTTTTGCCATGTAATATATTATTTATAATAAATAATGGGGGTTGATCGTAGAAGGGTGAACATTAGGGGTTGTATGTTTTTTTAATGCTGTATCATAAAATTTTTTAAAAAAAATCTAAAAATTAAAAAAATAAAAATAGGAGGGGAAATCCCCCTAAATGTTAAGGGTGTAATGTTGTTTCGATTCCGATTCTCAGTTGTACCCAATATGGACACAAAATTTCATGAGAATCGGTCAAGCCGTTTCGGAGGAGTTTAACCACAAACACCGCGACACGAGAATTTTATATATTAGATGAAATTTTCGAAATTATGTAAATAGAAGTACTTTTGCCGCCGCCGTGGGCGCTTTCAACCGCACCCTGGCGGAATTATCGCACAAATTCCTCGCTGGCGACTACTTGCGAAATGTGTCTTTACTGCCGCTGTATATCGAATTACCGGAAGATGAAAGGTAAGATCCTTAATAAAATAAAATATTAATTAAACTATTATATTGCAAATAAGGTAAATGTAGCTGTATTGGGAGCTTATATTTAAAAAAATGCGTGTTGTCAGAGATTGTTGCATCGACGCGAATACTTGACAATCTATGAAAATTTACTATATTTTTCTTTGATATTTAATCTATATCTAAAACCAGTAAATAATAATAAAAACTTTTTTATGACATAAATATGGTTGTGTTGTGGGTGACAAGACAACAATTATTTAGTGGTGCATGACATTGTTTTAAGAAAAAGTAGTGTTAGTGATACTACTGTTCAAACACAGGTCATATAAAACATGTATGTATTTGAAAGTGTAGCTAAGAGTTGTTATAAGTGTGCGCTGTGTTAGTTTTTGGAATAGAGAGTCATGCCAAGATATGTATATACGATTTGTCTAGTGTAATTTTTATGAATTTTGTTAGTTTACATCTGAATAGTTTTAGTAAAATCCATGCATTGGCAAATTTTATTACATAGGCGCCCCTAAATGCAAAGAAGCGTTGGCCAAACATAGTCCTTCGTTGGCGTCGGGAATACAAAATCAATCAATCATATCTATCAAAATATTTGTAATGATTTAGCACATATTGGGAATATGTTAACAGTATCACACTCGACATACAATAATATGTACGTTCCGCATAGTATCTGAATTTTCTAAATTACTAACCATTAAGTTTACTAAAATTATATAGTTAGACTAACTTTAAATTCAAGTTTAAAAAATTGAAAACATATAATATATAGAAAAATAATAATAATAAACGTAGGTGTTTTAAGTTACACAGCCTTATCGCCATTAACCTCTTCTCTTCCCTTATTACTTGGCTTAGGGTCCTTCAAGAAAAGAGCGTACCAATTCTTAAAAGTCCGGCAACGCACTCGCGAGCCCTAAGGCATTGAGAGTGTTCATGGGCGGCAGTATCACTTAACATCAGGTGAGCCGTTTGCCCCCTGTTTTATAAAAAAAATATCTAATCTAAGGATCATCTCTCTAAGTTTTGCGAGAAATTCATGGACAAACATATTAACATACATGTATGGAGGAAGCTGCTGCTGTTGCTCCATCCTAAAGGGTCGACCTCCACCAGTCTAACTGGCTGGCCCGAAGGTTCCAGTGGCTTAGGGCAAGAAGTTGTTTAACATATCCTTAGCATTTGGATTAATTTTGTTACCAAGTTCATCGTAATTGTAGCCGAAGATGTCGCTAAACATACTTTTACGAAATTAAGCACACGTGCTGATACATCAAATACAAACCCCTCCTTTTCTATGTCAGTAAAACATCCATATACGTCTACAGATCGGGCTATTTTCCTCTAGAAATTGATTTATAATGCACATTGTTATTCAGTTTCAGCTAACTTAATATGCGGGCGAATCCACTTGCCTTTGTATTTGTCGCATTAAATATTCCTCGTCTCTTTGTTACGGAAACTGATTCTCGGGGTATGCATGAAAATATTATAAGAGTATCAGTATAATATTTGCAAAATCATTGAGATCACAATAATATTAACGATTTTATTAGCATAGAAATACGAACGTAAAGCAATTAGTTTGAAATATTGAAGGTTCAATGTTCAGCAGTTTGTTTAATTGTTATAGTCGCGTTTCATAGACATAACATTTATTACTATTTTACACACACAGAAACTGACAAAATAATAATAATCAAAAAAAAAGAAAGAAAAATAACATTTTCTTAAAGAGGAAGGTATATTTTAAGTGTGTAACGT